GGGCAGGCGGTTCAGGCAGACAGGAAGTGGAGATTGTTCTGGAAGGAGCAGGGCCCAGTGGGGAGGACGAGCTGGGGAGTGACACCTCCACTGCTGTGGGGTGGGGGAACATAAAGGTGAGGGGTGAACGAGCTGGGTTTTGGAGGCAGATGGGCAAGTGCATCTCACGAGCGAGCGCGAGCAGGGCAGAGGTGGGGCTGGGGGCGAGTGCAGGTGCGGGGAAGGGGCCAGGAGGCAGAAGCCAGGGGTCCCCGAGGGCAGAGCCTGCTAGTGCCTGCTGCGCCCCCCCAGACCCCAGCAGTCACCCAATGGCGGCAGGATCAGGGGCTTCGCTCTGCTCCTCACTAGGGGCGGCATCCTCTCTGGGGCAGGATGGGCCAGGGCCTCAGGCCTCCAGGAGGCCCAAGGGGCTCACAGGATCAGGCCGCAGCCCATAGCCTGGCCGCTTCTGCTCCTCGAGGCCACTCCTGGGCCTTGGCAGTGGCCCCGCCCCCCCTTCCCTTGCCTCAAGCCAGGAGGGGAGGTGACTCGGGGTGCCCCAGCAGCTTCCCCTCCCCTCGGCCCCGCTCGGCAGAGTCCCCGGCACCTACGCTCCCACTTCACCACTCTCACCCACCCTCGGGCCAGTGCCACACGCTAGGGGGGGCTTCACTTTGCGCACGTGCCCCGGCACCCGCAGGCAGGAACCAGGCAAGCCCGGGAGGGGGCACGGGCCACGGCAGCCCGGTGTGCCCTCACAGCAACCCTGGAAGCCCACAGGGTCCTGTCAGGACTCACTCCTGAGAGATGGGCTGGCATCCCGGGAGCATAGGGACACAGTTCCTCAGGCTGGGATGCTTCGGCTTGATGCCCTGACAGCCTCTGGAACCACACACAGCCCTGCGACGTTATCTGACCAAGGAAGATGCTGGAACAAAGCACTAGTTATTCTGTGTAGGTGTCCCCACTTTCACTAGAGTGGCAAGTTCATGAACAGTTTCGTCCTGGGGTTTGCCAGGAGAGCTGTGGCCCAGTGGACAGCTGCTTCCTTGCCCTGGACCTGTCCAGATGGACCCTCCCAGGCCAGGCCAGCCCTCCAGAGGCATACCCTCCCTCCCTGCAGGTGCGGCGGTCAGGCTCAGGAGCCCACTGTCACGAGTGTCTCTACTGGGCCCCAGCGAACTGGTCACAGAGGCAACGGATCGGCGACCACAGTGCTGACAAGGAGAAGCACACGGCACATCCACCGCCCAGGACCCAGGAAAGCTGTGAGTGGAGGACTGCCTGGCGGAGGCGAGCCCTGGGCCCCGTGAAACCTCCCCTGCTTGTCTGGGTGAGGTCAGTGGATGGACAGCGGCTGCCCAGGCTCCAGGCAAGGTCCCAGCAGGACCTCTCTCCCTGAACTGCCCTTGGGGGCAGAGCCAGCATAACCAGCCATGTGGAGCTGGGACCTGCTCTGGGTCAGCTCTGCCCAGGGCCCCACCTCGACCCTCTCTAAGCCTCTGCGGGCCAGGAGCCAGGGCTGTGTCCACGCCTGCTCAGAGCCCAGCGCCCCAGGCAGCTGGGCTGTGGCAGCTGACAGCAGTAAGGCCTGGGCAGGTCCAGAGGCCCCAGGGGGTGTGGAGCAGGGCCAGGGGGTTCTGCCAAAGGCACAGAGTGGCTCCTCTGAAGAGGAGGAGGGGGCCGCCCTGACTTCCCCAGCCCACAGCTGCTCCCCAGGGAACAGTAGAGGGGCGTTAACAGGAGTCCCTGCCAAGGCGGGTGGTGGCCTAGGTGCTCACCCACTGAGGGAGGTGAGGAAAGGCAGCAACTATGCGACCCAAACTGCCAGGCAGTGGCAGCAACCCGCACCCCTGGGGGAAGCACCTAGCTGAGAGGCAGAGGACAGCTCTGCCGTGAACCACGTGTCTGCTGTGCACAGACTCCGGACACAGGACATTGGCCGGGGCGGCCCACCCACCCACGCCGCACGATGCCTATTAAGGACATGACTATGGGGCTCCGCCGAGCGCGCTGCCTCTTCCTCGGGCGCCGGCGGCCGCGCGGGTCGAGCGAGGCTGGCGGCGGGGGGCGGGGCTGGGCTCCGATCGGGACGACTACCGCGGACGAGG